GTGATATGAAAATAGTTAATTTACAAATTTCCACATATCTTGACAAATACAATATAATACCCGACAGCCAATCTAGCTTCAGAACGAATTATGGAATTATGGAACAACCTCCGCTCTCCTCAATCTTAAGTACCTTGATGCAAAAATGGCACTGAATCTTGTATTTATTGACTACTCTAATGCTTTTGATAGTATCAACCACGAGCTTTTGCTTATGAAAGTTAGTAATACAGGTCTTGATAACTCAGTCTGTTTTATTAAACCAAAGATTGTCCTCAACATCGTTGATACCTGCTGGTGTGCCTCAAGGTTCTATATTAGGACCTATACTATTTTGTATGTATACTTTTTATTTAAACAAACTGCTAATATTTCCCTTATTCAATCAAAAAATTTAAAAGCGATGTTAACAATTTGATACAATATTCTTCTAATCAGACTCTAAAATAAATCCAGAAAAATCCAAAATATTATTGTTTTGTAATGAAAAAAAGAAAAATGCTACTACATCTCACTGAAAGCTTTCTATAAATAATCACGTTTTAGAGTTTGCTGAATCTGCAAAAATACTTAGTTTTTGACACTAAAAAGAGATTTCTTGATCATGTGAATTGTGTACAGTTCATTATTGGATTACGAAAATTTCACCATGTTTCATTTCAGCCAATTACCAAATATTGAAGTGAATGAAATGTAAAAATTTAGTAAACTTCCATTATTTAATTTTCATACATTCATTTTTGAAAATGTCAAAGCGCTTATACCTCAGAGAAAAAATTGTTTTCAGTAAGGACGTGCAACTAGACACAAAATTATGAGAGTACCACCGCACAACACAACATTATTTAAACGAATTTTTTCGTATAACTTAACTACCATGTACGCGCCCCTTCCCACTTCAGTTGGCCCAACTATTGAAATCTTAGTTTTTTTCTTATCAAACAAAAATAATAAAAATGTAGCAGGGTGTTATAGGTTTAAAATATTAACAATGAATATTTTGATAATATATAGTAGAAAACACCAACTTTATCACTCCCGAATCAAATTTGCAGCATAAAAATAAAACAGGTTGCAATTACAGCATATCAACCTATTTTCATTTTAATGCAAAATAAGTCTATAATGCATAGGTGGCTGTGAAAAATAAAAGTCATGACAATTGTTTTTATTAATCACAGCTGTCAGAATACGTTTAAAATAGTTTTGGGTAGTTAAGGTTTTCAAAATGGGTAGAGGAAAGGTTATTAGTGAGAAAATTCGGTTAAAATTATTTTTTTTTTTAATTCTGGGAAATCAAACTTAGAAATTGCAACTTTGTTAGACTTAGCGCGGTACAGTGTGAGAAATATTGTTAGAAGATATAACGTAACTGGTTCAGTTAATATTAAGCCACGATATGTGAAAAAAAAGTAATATCACAAATGCCGATCGAAGAGCATTAAGAAGAATAATCGTGAAAAACAGGCGTGCCAATTATTTACAATTAAGTGCTCTGTGGAGTGACGGTGTTGGAAGGAGAATTTCGAGGTCCACAACTTACTGAGAGGCCCACAAACTGGGATTTAGCACTTGCAAGGTAAGTTTTCTTATAAAAAAAAGTGAAGTAAAAACCCTAAAGTTGCACAACTTGTTTATAGGCCAAAGAAAAGCCACTATTAACCCCACTGCAAAAGAAAAATCGGCTTAGATGGGCTAAAGAACATAGACAATGGACACCTCAACAATGGTGTGCAATACAATGGAGTGATGATGCCCGATTCGAAGCTTGTGTTGGTGACTGTCGCAGTAGAGTTAGTCGCAAAAAAATGAAGCATTCCATGTCTGAAGAGAAAAGTGAAATTTCCAGCATCCATTATGGTCTGGGGCAGTATGTCATCAAAAGGAGTAGGAAAACATTTTATTGATGGAAATGTGGATACAAACAAATATTTGGCAATTTTAGAAGAATCGCTTTTACCAGTGATGGAAGAATATTTGACATCCGGCCAAGATTTTGTGTTTCAGCAAGATGGTGCAGCGTGCCATACCTCAAAAAAGGCTATAAAATGGATGGAAGAAAATAATGTACCACTTTTGAAATGAGTTTCTAGCAGTCCAGATCTGTCACCTATTGAAATTTTGTGGCACGAGATGAAAAAGGTTCTACGACAACATCCTGCTCGTACAATCACCGAACTGAGACAAAAGCTTCAAGAAATATGGGATTGTTTTAACAAATGTTTGCCAAAACTTGGTTAACACTATGCCGCAAAGAATTTTAGCCGTAGTAAAAAATAAAGGTGATGTTACCCAAGGTAATCTTTCAATTGTTAACTTCGCGCATTTATTCGCACATTGTTTATTTGTTCAGATGTTCTATTGGTTATAGGTCTAAGTGATTTCAAATATGTATTTTTTACGACTAGAGTGTATCTAAAATGTTTTTGAGAAAATAAATTGTTTTAGAAGAAAATAGTTTTGTCATGTTTAGTTTATAAAGGCATATTTTGGTACAAATCTTAAAGTGGGCCAACTGAAGTGGGAAGGGGCTCGTATAATTCAATACCTGAAGAGTATAAGACATATTCTTTGTCGACATTCCGCAAGAAAATTAAACTGTTTATATATTCACTATCCACATCATTTCATGATTTCTATATATATGATGTATTGTAATTCTTGATTTACATGTTTTCTAATATAGTTCGTCAGTTTTTTTTTCTTTAAGGCATAAGAGAAATGTCTATATTGTGTTACCAATCGCTAACTGATTGGTTAAGTGCACGAGTAGCGAAAGCTAAACTTTATTATTATATTGATATTGACCACATAGTCTAGAACACCTTGTACAGCGTTCACATGCCGGACAAACTAACACACCGTTGAAGCTGTGCGGTGGTCTGAGCAATGTACTCCGTTCCGTTTGACATTGAAATTCACCTAACGTGTACGACCGAAATATGCAATTAACGGATTAAATACAAGGATGTCAACTAAGTAGCTAACTATGTATGTAAACAAATCAAACGAGTCCATTTTAGCCTAGTTGTGATTACTATAGCAACCATTAAAAACTGACTCAAGCTGACCTTATGATGAGGTCGTAAAACATAAATAGCCTTGGAAGGTGCGGAGTGAGTTGGGTAAGTAGCGTGGAATACAAAAACAAGCTATAAGGTTTGTCAAGAAAAGAAAAAGAGAAGAAACTGAAGAAATTCCACAGAGAAGAAGTCACCACTGCATACAGGCTGTCTGAAAATTTCGATATATTCCTTGTTAAGGGTTAGTACCCAGTTGTAATAAATTGCTACATTAGTTCAATTTGGGGTCATAAGCGGTTCCCAAATTATTATTTTTTGAGATTTTCTGTTAGGTCCAGGTAACATTTTCAGCCACTCCACTAAAGCTTAAGCTGATAAATAGCTTAAATTAAGTATCTTGGTGACAAACAAGACCTTTTGGTTCAATGTATTGGTTTTCAAATTCGGTAAGAATTATAAGAAAACGTCTAAGGCAATTGGCACTAATTCTTCATCCCTCAGTTACCTCTAGTACAATAATTTTCAAGAAATATGTCAAATAAATTAGATAATTTAGCAACAGTATTTTTTTAAGTAGAAGTACCTAAATATGTTCGTTGCAAATGCCGAAGTTGGTATAGGACAAAACTGGGTAACAAAACACAAAGTATCGCTAGTCGCACAGCCATACTTACACATCAGAAAGCTATGGCTGAAACAATATTGGAAAAAAAACTAAAAGCAGTGATGTGACTAGATTCAAAATGGACTTGAGTCGCAGTGATACAATGTCACTAGTCTTACCCATTACCAACTCCTGAGGCAACAGTCAATAGAACTTAATCATCTATGGTTGGCTTTGATGGAATCTTGATGTTTGGATTTCATAACAAGAAACATTATTTGGATTCGTAATTGGGAGACTATACATAAATTAATATTCTATGAACATACCGTCATCATTCCTGAACGCAAAATAGACTTCAAATCGAGAAACTCGATATAAATGCAAAATATGTGCGCTCAAGTACAACACTTAAAAGTCAAAGCGTTCTTTTTTTGCTTAATATTAATCAATGACACCATACTCAAATTCAAATCACATACTTTTGAATACATGGTCGTCAAAGGGAATTAATTAAATGCACCTGGGTTTTATAGTTATTATATAAACGTGCATTACCACTTTGTAGTGATATACCAATTTTATCTTTTTACTTCCCACAAATAAATAGGGAAAGTAAGGAAATAAAGCAACGCGCAAAAGTTTTTTAATTTGAGATAGTGCCGTCACGAAAATTCATGCAATTTCCATTAAACTTCTGTTTGTTTTGACGCTTTCAAGTTCCTCATCATTCTTCGGCAGAGCCAATGTTTTGGAAAAAGAGAAGTGACCATTCATTTTAAAAAAATAATATTTGTATTTAAGCAGGTTTATGACCACCTACTATCTTTTCATGAATTTGGTATTATAGTTATTATTATGTTAATTTCTATTTTTTTCAAATCCTTTTCAAAATAATTTGATGTTGAAAATGATTTTTTAAATTTTCTGTAATATCAAAAAAATTATTTAATGAAAATAAAATAGAAATAAATAACGTATAGATACCAATTATTTTACTATGTTCTATTTTTGGATACATTCTCTTCGCTAGGTAGCATGGTATGTTTGTAGAAACATAGGTATAAAGATGTTCGAAAAAATCCGTGGAATGTTTTTTCGCTTTTTTACGTAGTGATGAAAATTATTTTTTTTTGTATTTTCGATATCAAAAAAAAAAACTTTTACAAAAAAGAAAATTAGATATTGAATAGATAGCAATTATTTTGGTACCTTTTATTTTTTGATACGGTGTCTTCGTTATATAGCATGGTATTTTTGTAGAAAATATGTATAATTATGTTCCAAAAAATTCATGGAATGTTTTGCCGCTTTTTTGCAAAACTTCCTATATCGCTCAACATACAATATTCTTGAACTACAATCCTACATACCGAATGGATTTTATCCACCAATTCAGCAATCTGCTCTCTGCTGCACATGTTGTACCAAATAGAATCCAAAATCACACCACAGAAAAATTAAAAAACAGCTACAAACTACGTCTACTACTTAATATCCACACGCGCGTCGTCCATCGGCCAACTAGATTCTCGTGTGGGCCGCGGTCCGCGATCGTCCGTTGTTACTTCGCGGCGTATCGTGCGGTTCTGAAACAGGTGAATGTCGGTCCGTGCCGGTGCCGCGTCCACGTCATGGCACTCCAGATTACTTCCTCCCTTTAGTTGCCTGCCGACTGCAGGCAGGTGCAAATGCAGCGTTGCCGACAATTTCTCTTCCGATCGATCAAAAAAGGCACTATATATTCTTTACTTATTGTTATAGATTAACAGGTGCAGTGAATCCATTCTACGAGTCTACATACTACAGCAGGTACTGGGGAATCTATGTCTTCTTACCCTCCCAGAGAAGCAGATGAGTAACAGTGTAATGTTATCGATATCAAACATAAAAATCATTAGGACTAGAAAATGTAGAGATATATAGAAATTTACATTTTTGCGTTATGGCTACTCCGACCCTGTTCACCTAAGTCAAATAAATGTTCGACGGTTGCAACGTCCTATGGATTAGCGCACATTGTGGAAATTTTGCCCTCCGGTAGTGCACTATACACAGGAAGGCAACTTTTTGCATACTTTTAAGCATTTTAAACTCTGTACGAGGGATGTCCTTTAAGTTTTGCATATGGAAATAAAACAACACGGTAGGTAGTTTTAAATCACTTTGTTGTTTTTCGAAGTATTCTCCACGAAGATTAATACACATCTGCATTCGCTCGAACCAATTCTCGAAGCACTTATTCCACTCGTTTGCTGGCAGACCCAAAACGGCTATTTTGAATGCGTCAACTGCTTCTTCTGGTGACTAGGACCTTTGACCACGCAGTCTATTTTTAATTTTCGGGAAAGTAAAGAAATCGTTAGGACTTAGATCGGTACTATATGGAGGATGGTCCAATAATTCCACGTTTTCTTCCGTTAAATACTGTTTTTGGGTTGTCTGCGAGCTTGCATTGTCTTGGTAGAGGATGATTCTTCTTTCGGGGTTGATTTTCCGAAGCAAGAAATTGTTGCAATATGACCCGCTTTTGACACAAATGTCGCGACCATCTTTTTCGAAACACTTCGAGAACGGATGACTTTTGTTGGCTTTTCTTCACCTTGGAACTCCCAAACAGCCGACTCTCGTTTATTTTCTAGTTTATACCAGTAAATCCACGATTCATCACCACTAACAATGCTGCAAACAATTTTTGAGTTTCCGGAATTGAAACGGTCAAGCGTTTTTTTCCACCAATTAACCAACGAGAAACTAATTTTCTTACTCCTAATTCTTCATGTATTTTTTTTGACTTGAGGTCTTTGAGATCTTCAAGGTACGCCTCAATTTCGCGATATGTCACGTGTCTATCTTCAATGATGAGTTTGCGCACAGCATCGACGTTTTCCTTGGTGACTGCCGTTTTTGGTGCACCCACCCTGGGATCGTCGCTAAGACTCACCCGTCCACGTTTGAGTTCTCCATACCAACGGGAAATTGTCGACTGATGAGGCGCTTCGTTGCTGAAAACAGACAGTAACTCAGAAAGGCATTCTTGTTGCGATAATTGTCTCTGAAGATTGTAATAAATTATGGCGCGAAAATGTTCTCGGTTGAGTTCCATTTTTCTAACGACTTGGTGACACTTAAAAATTCACTGTAGTGAGAATACTGCACGTATTGTTGTGAAACTTTGAATTTAGGCTTGCTAAAGAGTGAGGTTAAGATTCAGTACTGACGTTCGATCCGCGCGGCCTACTATGTTTCCATATGCAAAACTTAAAAGACATCTCTCGTAGTAGATCTATAGAGTGTATATCTTCCTCTCCCAAAGACAGGAAGCATGAATAAATAATAAATGAAATTAAAGGTATACCAGCTACCAGCCGACGCATAGGCCACATAACGGGCCCTTACGCATCACTACATTCCCTAAGCCTCAAGCTGTGCCCTTCTAGCAGAGTTGGGTATGACCCTGAGTCCCAGCTCGTTAGCATTTTGGGGATCTTAAGTGTTGGAATCGGGTATAGTCTGCATGTAGATACAGAATATGCGCCGAGGACTTTTCCTTCACCCCGCAGCGCTCATACAAGGGTTAGCTCTATCCAAAAATAAGCAAAACCATCCGTAATATTGGGCCCTAAGATGAGCTTCTGTGCCTGACGGAAATGTTTAGAGATGCTTCTCTATTTCAGATAGTGTTGTCTAGCAACCCACTCATCTCCATTATCCTCCTAGCGTGAGTACCGGAGCACCCTATGTCCCAGCGTGTCCCCGGTACCCACACTTCTGGCAGTGTGACTGAGAGAATTCATAAAGACTCGGCTGCTCTGACGAGGAACACTAGATCTACCGGTGAGAGGTCCAGAAAAGCTTCCACTGCACTGCGCTTATAATACTGGTACAAGCCAAACGCTGAATTATGTTGAGTTTGTCCTTAGTTGTCTCGGGTCCAATGCAAGGCCACCAAACCAAGGAGCCATACAAAAGAAATGGACGTACTATGTTACATTTTTGCGTTAGGGATAGTCCGTCCCTGTCAACCTAAGTAAGCCAAATGTTCGGCGGTTGCATCGTCCTGCAACGTTCCTATGGATTAGCGCACACAGGGGAGCAGCCGAAGAACGTATCCAGGAAATGTAACCTTCCCGTTGCGCAACAATACACAGGAAACATACCTGTTTGTACACCATCACACATTTTAAACTCTGAAGCAGGTCTAGACAGCATATATAGCTTCCTCCAGTAGGGATAGGAAGAACAAGAGGTACCGATAAATTATTTTCCCGAAAACAATCAAGAAATTTATTTGAGCTAAAAGGGATCGTATCTTTGTGGAAAGAATAGCCCGTCCCTGTTCGGCTTAGCATTAGTAATTGCAGTGCCCTATGGCATCATAGATTTGTTCTTTGAGACTGGAAAACGGCAAGGGGTAGCATCGAAAAGAAATAGATAGAACACACTGATGATAAAAATATTTCGCTACAGCAGCAGAATATGTCAGCTAACCTGGTAAATTCCTGTGCCTACTGCCTTCAGGCATTTCGACGCTCCCGTTTCGATATCCTAATTTTTATTAACAGTGCTGTGCCAGAAGGGAAATCCTCCTCTAGGCTGTACCCTGTTGAAAACTGGTTGATTCTGATATATGACGACATTTATACGTTCTCAAGAGAAAATAATTTCGTGTAGACGTGAACGCATACGTGCGCGTCGATAAAAAACGAAATTTGAACAAAGCAGTTCCTCAAAAAGGTCTAATATTATCGATATCAAACAAGAATATAAACTATTAAAGAGCTAAGCTTCCAAAAATATAATTTTAGTAGTATCATTGATAAACTTATTCAACCTGATATCGGGTTTTCCAATAGGGACTTGACAACTTCGAACTTTCACTGTAAACGCACCATATTCAGTGATGAGGCGCATTTTTGGCTAAACGGCTTCGTCAACAAACAGGATATGCGTTATTGGTCAGGTGAAAACCCCATGTGCTTCAAGAAACACCACTTTATCCACAAAAAATAATTGTATGGTATGGTTTTCATGCCGGTATTGTCATTGGGCCGTTTTTTTTTTTCGTTGATGAAAATGACCACCACGTTACAATCAACGGAGATCGCTACAGAAACATGTTGCAACGTTATTTTTTTGGCCAGTTGGATGGGCTAGACATTAATCATATGTGGTTTCAACAAGGAGGTCCCGCATGCCACACAGCAGGTGAAACAATCGACATATTGAAATCAAAATTCGGTGAACTTGTTATATCGAGAAATGGTCCAGTCGAATGACCGCCTAGATCGTGTGATTTAACACTTCTAGACTTTTTTTTGTGGGGCTATATTAAATCATTGGTCTATGCCAACAAGCCGGCATCGTTAGAAGATCTCAGAGTCAATATTGAACGAGAGATAGTGGCCGTTTCTGCCGAGTTATTGATAATTGGGTTCAACAATCGATCGCAGCGAACGTGCCCGTGGTGGACATATGAACGACGTCTAATTACACATATAAATGTTTTGAGTATATTTCAATCCAATAATAAAATTTCCGACATATCTCAAATGGTTTGCGTTTTATTAAAAAAGAAAGTTGTCGTGTCCTTAATGGAAAACCCTTTGTATATGTATAGAGTGTGTCCCAAATGTTGACGTGGGGCAGTTATGGAAATTTAAGTACATAATATAACTGATGGGAGCAATTCGGCTAGATGATTTTCAAAACAATGGCAGTTTCGGTTCTATCGGAAACATGCCTATTTCAAATAGCATTATACAAATTCTGGATTCTTTGCGAAATTCTGATTACATTTCATGTACGGCATTATACGGGTGTGCTTTGAGTTGGGACTTTCTTTTACACAGCGTATAGATCTTGGAAAAATGCGCAGTTTGTTCTAGTAACATGTACACCAAAGCCTTAAGATTACTGCTACAGAAATCAAACCTAAACAAAACGTAATACAGTCCTGCACCTCGATAAGGCCAAACGTGAACACATACGATGCGCATCAGTACTCAACCCAGGCGCTGGCCGCGTTGCTAAACAAAACCTTTACACATCGTTTCTAAAAAAAAATGAATCTATCGCATACTACTTTGAACAATACTTTCAAGTGACAGAGCTGTAGTTGAAATTTCTTTTCGATGAACGATGCGTAGTTTTTCACTTATTCTTTTTTACTTTTTCGCCGTTGTTTCACCACACATCAGCTTTGTTATTACAAACGTAATTACTTCTGAAAAGGTAAGTTCCAACTTTTATTACACCCTGAGTACCTAAGTGTAACCGTTTTTGAGATAGCTCAAATTTTGTTCAAAAAATAACTGCAAGCCAATGAAATGTAACAATTATTTATAGTGCTTTCGCCTATGCCATATGATTTATAATTGGTTTTTCATAGTAAGAGACATAGTTTAGTAGATTTTATTCCGGATTTTGATAACAACTAATATGGGGTTGCCAAAAAAAATTAAATAAAAATCAGATTCAGGAAATTGTGGTAGCTCATCTTTCAAGGAAATCCTTCTCAATGCCATCTTCAAAAGTGCCATAATCAATTATTTGAATACGATGAAGTTGTTATAAATTAAGTCGAAAAACATCTTTGAAATACTGCCACGTCTTTTTTCGGAACGATCTTACCAGTTAGACTTTTTTCCTAGGATTTT